GCACTTGGGAGGTTTGCTCAGCACTCAAGAAGCTAGAGTCGCTCTCGGCTATCGCTTCGAGAGACTCTTACGCTTCTTTCGTGCTTAGCAACCTCCCGCGTGCATCCATAACTCAAAAGTGTACGCTGTGGTGTTTACCATTTGTTAAATTTAAAGTTGGAGAGTTTGAGAGTTAATCGCATCTCAAAAGTACATGTTTTATTTCAGCATAAAATTCGTTATCATCATCAAATACCCAGTTACCATTTTGGCCCTGTTCCTTAATATTGTACGTACATTATTTGTCAGATAGCTTCCGTAGTGTTGCAATCAGTCTTGTGGCATATTTAAGGCTCAAATAACTTTTTGTATTCCTAGGTATTTCTGCATCTAGCCGCCTTGACAGTGACCCCGTCATTCCTTTTGATTGCCATATGCTTGGTGGCAATTATGTCCCACGACGTAAGGAGAATTAAATCCGGTCGCCGAGACTGCCTCCCATTCTGCCTTGCGCCTAAACCAAAGGAAGGAAAGCCAGCCTGGGACGAACCTATTAAACAGACGTCAAACCGAGCAATGGAGTATTGGGCTAGGTTCTTAACGCTTCCAGGGACAAAAGTCATCGTTCTTTTGTTTTCACTGTCACTGCTTGCAGCCGGAATATATGGAGTAACCCAGGTAAACGAGACGTTTGACAGAAGAATCCTGGCGAAGGATGAATCTTGGATGAAGTAGTTTTTGACCGCTCAAGAACAACACTTTGAGGTGTCCCTTGGAGTGAGCATCGTTCAAACGGGTAGCGTTGATTATGAAATGTACTCCACCCAGGAACACATCAGAAAGCTTACAAACATTGTCACGGAAAATAAACATTTTAGGAACCTATCACTGTCTTGGATGGATACCTTTGCTCAATATGCTAAAAACTTTAAGAAAAACATTACTGGTCCACAGTTTCTGCCTGAATTAACAACTTTCCTTCGCATTCCTGAGTATTCTTACTTCAGCCAGGACTTGAAGTTTTCTGACGACGGTACAAAAATAGAAGCAGCGCGAATCATGGGCTTTATGAAGAACTCTGGCAGCTCCACCTTCCAGAAGGACGCGATGACTTCAATTCGCCAGGGATATAACTGAAAAGTCCAAACTGGATGCCTTTCCAATCGCTCGATCTTTTATATTTTTTGAACAGTACGCTATCACGTTCACGGAAACCACAAGAAACTTGATAGTCGCGGCCCTAGCAGTGTTGATTGTCTCAAGTCCTTTTCTGGTAGACAACACCGTGACGCTCCTAGTGGTTCTTAACTTTGCAGCCCTGATATGCGAGTTGTTTGGTTTGATGGTGACATGGGATGTGTCACTGATTTCTGTGTCAATGATAAACCTTGTTATGGTCGTTGGATTTGCTGTCGATTATAGTGCACATGTCGCGCATGCGTACATAATATCAAACAAAGAACAGCTAACAAGCGAGTAGTGGAGGCTCTGAGCACTATCGCTGCGAGTGTTCTCATGGAGGTAACTCAGGAGCGATAGTTCTTCTCCAAAGAACTACCAAAAAAAAAATCCTGCACGCCAGTTTTAGAGCACTGTATTAAGATACTTGAGTAAATTAGGTGTGATAGTACGTACGTCCTTTGTAACAGCCCAAAAACGCAAGAAATTGGTACATTCAGTTTTTAATTATTATCTCACCAAGTATTTACAGCAAGGACACCTACAATATCTCGTTTTAAAGTGTATAAAATGGGCTTCTCAGGAGAACCTAAATTTTATCATTGAAAGCCAGGACTTTCCTGAAAAAATAAATTGAAAGGACAAGCAAGTTAGAAACAGTGTAAATTTGAGAAAAACGTCAGTTATCCTCATAAGTAGAGGTTACTGAAGATTAATTAATAGTAGAAGTTAATTATTAACATGTAAGCAACATTTCCTGAAAACCTCATAAAAAAAGAATAAATAGTAAATTTTTAATGAATTTTTATGAGGGCCAATGTAATTCGAAAGAAATTAACCAAAAAACAGCGACAATCAGTGTTCAAATAATCGATTAATATCTCAACAAATATTTGCAGCAGTAACACCTGCCATATCTCATTTTGAAGGCTATTAAATGGGCTTCTCAGGGAAATATAAATTTTATCATTAAAATCCAGACTTTCCTGAAAACATAAATTTGAAAAGACGAAATACGTAAAAATTAGTGCAAACCTTGAAGTAAAAGTCACTTATCCTCATAAGTATAGGTTACTGAAGATTGTTTGATAGTAGAAGTTCATTATTAACATGCAAGCAACGTTTCCTGAAAATCTCATATAAAAAGAATAAATAGTAAATATTTTAGGAATTTTTAACACAACATTCAGTTTTGAATTAATATCTCAACAAATATTTACAGCAGTAACACCTACCATATCTAATTTTAAAGTGCATAAAATCGGCTTCTTGGGGAAATATAAATCTTATCACTAAAACCAAAGACTTTCCTGAAAAAGACAAATTTGAAAGACAAAATAAGTATGTATTAGTGTAAAACTTGAGGAAAAAGTCACTTATCCTCATAAGTATAGGTTAGTGGAGATTATTTGATAGCAAAAGTTAGTTATTAACATATAAGCAACATTTCCTAAAAATCTGAAAGCAAAAGAATACATAGCAAATTTTTTCTGAATTTTTATTTTTGTCAACGTCATTCCCAAGAAATCAACCAAAAAAAAACATGCACCATTCAGTTTTGAATTAATATCTCAACAAATATTTATAGCAGTAATACCTACCGTATCTCATTTTAAAGTGCATAAAATGGGCTTCTCAGGGAAATATAAATGCCATTATTACAATCCAAGACTTTCCTGAAACGATAAATTTCAAAGACAAAATAAGTAAGAAATAGTGTAAAACTCGAGGTAAAAGTCCCTTATCCTCTTGGGTAGAGGTAATTGAAGATAATTTGAGAGTAAAAGTTCATCATTAACATGTAAGTAATATTTCCCGAGAATCTGACAACAAGTGGATACATCATTCTCAAGAAATTTGGACATCAGGGCCCATTCTCCTCTTATAAAGCTCTGATGTGCCACAAAGTAAATGAATTTGCCTTGTAATATCTCCACTAAATATTGGGAGACCTGTATGAGAAAACTAGACCTAAATCACAACTATTCCCATCAACAAAGATGAAAGCAACGAGGTAGAACTTTTAAAATTTTTTTGGCTTGTTTTGCTTTGCAGCACTAAGATCTACACAAACATAAATATAATTTTGCTAGTTAGGGTTCAAAGATCCCTTAGGTAAACCAAGTTATACAAAAAGTAATGTATAAAAAACATATACTTTCTTCCTTTCAAAACATTTACTCACCAAGGATAGCGACAGAACAGACGGAGAATTGAACAAGCAGAATTCAACAGGCAGCGCCAGAAGGAACAAAAAAAACCAACAACTACACATTCAAACAAAAATATAATTTTCAATGAACATATAAATTATCATCAACATTGATATACTGGTATCCAAGGCAAATTCACACCATTCTATAGCATAGGCATTCGAAAATTATCACTTGTTATTCGAAATTTTGCCAGTTGGCGCTTGAGTTATAAATATATCACTCAACAAGACAAGAGCCATTGTATTACTCAGTAGACGGTAGAACCGCAAGCCTTTTCCGGTCACTCGATAATTTCTCATATTCGACTGCTCCTTCGCTAAAAATATTAAATTTGCAATGATTGTATTCTGTATGTTTCTCAAAATTAACCGAACGGAAAATCGATGCTAAACTAGATCATCAAATCGCCAACGAATTATGCACCAATCAATAGGGAACTTAAGCACCGTTCGTTTTTGAGGCAACGGCAACTTTAGCGACCGAAAGAACCTGGGAAGAGAACAACGTCGTTCCCGCCAAATTATAAACGTTAAGCAGCTAGACGAGGTTTGCGGCGGCGACGTCGGTGGCAAACTCTGTTCGCTTTTAAGATAAGCTGTGTGAGAGCATGTCATCCTTTAGTGAGATGAGAAATCTGCTTCTTTTTTTGTACGATAGTAAAATCATCAGTGACGAAGAATTTTTGACCTTGTACGAAAGTTACAGTTCCAAGAATCCAGAATTCCCTTACAGCTCATACCCTAAGTTTGATTTCGACCAGATGGATGAATCAGAGTGTTTAGCGGAGTTCAGAGTGCGAAAACAGGACATAACGTTATTGGCAAATGTCCTTCAATTACCAGACACTATCCGCTGTCCACAAAGAACAACGTGTCACCGAACTGAAGGGCTTTGTATGCTTCTGAAGCGCTTCTCGTATCCATGTCGCTATTCAGACATGATTCATCGTTTCGCAAGACCAGTTCCTGAGATAAGTATGATTACCAATACAATGATGGATCATATTTTTTTGAGCCATGGTCATCGTATTTCACAATGGAATTTTGATATATTGAGTCCGCCAATGCTACAGGAGTATGCAGATGTTATTCATGCAAAAGGTGCACCTCTCAGCAACTGCTTTGGGTTTATTGATGGAACAGTCAGACCAATTTCTCGCCCAGGCCAACACCAAAGAATAGTGTACAATGGCCATAAACGTGTACATTCCCTCAAGTTTCAGTCCGTCGCTCTACCAAATGGACTCATTGGAAATATGTATGGGCCTGTCGGTAAGTTAACAGTTGTTGCAACTTATCTTAGTATCTTACGGTTAGGGGTCTGTGTTGATCGTAACTCTTTACATACAGTGCGTATTCTGTGCCCAGATGTTGATATTGATTAATTGAACTTAAAATGTCACATCCATGTTAAACGTGTGTCCAGTTGTTTATTGCGATGGTAAAATGTTACATCTAGGGGTCTGCGCGCAGATGTTGATATCGATCGTCGATCGTGAAGGTCAGAACCGTGCTTGAAATCCAGGGGTTTTATATTTGTACCTCTATATTGTCGCTATGTAGCGATGATGATTTACATAAGGGGGTTTTGAATAAAATGTCATGGTAGTTTTATATAAGGGTCTGTTCCCAGCTATTGATAATGATCCAAGAGGGCTCCCTTAAGTTACGATAAGCTAACATAGGAGCTGACACTAAAGCACGTTTCAACTTGTCGAAAACAATAGCACACTCTTCTGTCCAATTGAAAGAAACACCCTTCTTAGTCAATGCATTCAGGGGATCGGCTACGTGGGAAAAGCCGTTGACAAAGCGCCTGTAATAATTGGCGAGGCCTAGGAAATTCCTGAGTTCCTTTAGATTAGTTGGAGTAGAGAACTCCTGTACAACACGAATCTTTTCTGGGTTGGGGCTGATACCCTCGGGAGTTACGATATGACTAAGATATTCTACCCTTTGTTTAACAAAATTACACTTCTTTGAATTGAGCTTGATATTAGCTTCACGAAGTCTCCTAAAAACCTCTTCCAGATGAGCTAAGTGTTCTCCAACCGATTTGGAAAATATGATAATATCATCGATATATATATAAGTGCAAACCGATATTCCAATCTTCTCAAGATATGGCCCATGAGCCTCTGCTAACTCTGTCCAGAATTTGTAAGACCGAAAGGCATTACCAAGAATTCATACAGGCTATTGTGCGTAGTAAAAGCAGTCTTTTCCCTGGCAGAAGGGTGAAGCTCTATTTTCCGGTAGCCCGACTTCGTGTCAGTTGTGCTGAAAACGCTTGTTCCACTTAAATAATCCAAAGTATCGGCAATCAGGGGTAAGGGAAAGCTATCTTTTTTGGTAACTTTATTAAACTTGCGATAATTAACGCAAAACCTCATAGAACCATCTTTTTTCTTAACCAGAAAAACAGGTGAAGACCAAGCACTAACCGACTCTTGAACAGTTCCGCGTTCTAGCATATCGTTCACTTGTCTATCGATCTCTTACTTACCTTCAAGCGAAGTGCGATAGGTCATTTGTTTAATTGGGGTGGCGTCACCCGTATCGATCGCGTGCTGTACTGATGATGTTCTTCCTAACTCAGTGTCAAAAAAAGCAAGCACATCACGGTATTTACTAAACAAATCACGAAACTTAATTTTGTCATCAGTTGACAGAATACTATCAGATAACTCAGGCAATTGAGGATAGTCAGGCTATTCTGATTGTTGGTAACTTAAAGAATGATTATCGTTGGATATCTTTTCGCTCGCACTTAACTCGAAAGTGGCTATGTTGCGATCTACCTCCTCAAAATTAGCTAGACAGGTCCTACGGTAAATTTTTATTGGTTTGAAGGAAGGATTAACCAATCTTACTGGGATGGTGCCATCTTCTGCAACACTAACAAGCTCCGAAGCTCCGAAAATAGAATAACGATGACATAAGTCAGCTTTTGGGGCAATAATGCCGCTAATACCATTCTCCTCTGAGAATCTCGATCCTAGGGGAGCATCAAGGTTTCTCGGAACCAGAATCTCTGACTGGGGTGGAATAGTAAAGGTACCGGAGGCGTGAACTGATGAAACGAAGGCTTAATCTATTATATCTTTGTCACTATCTATAGGAACACCCTGAAAAGGAAAAGGACTAATCGATTATGAACTGTCATGGAAAAACTATATTGACTCTATAATATTGAAACTTAGCAAAATCATTGGATTACTGTCTAAGATAAGGCATTTTGTTCCTTTCCATACCCTTCTTAGTATACACAACTACCTTGTTGTTCATTATTTACGATACCGTTTAATTGCATGGGGACAAGCTGGCAAAGCTAAATTGAATAAGCTTTTGATCCTCCATAAACGTGCTCTCCGTTTCATATGTTTCGCTGACAGGTATGATCACGCCATTCCTCTGTTCCTTTGTGCAAAGACTTTACCTATTCACTTTATGTATTATAAATTGCTAGTTGAGACAATGCATGATGTAAATAATGATGTTATTCCTTCACAATTGAAGGATTTGTTCATCCCTACTGCAAAAATTCATTCATATAATACGCGATCTTCAGCCTCCAACAACTTTTACATTAAAAAATCAAAACTTGAAATTGAACGAAAATCGTTTTCAAGAATCGGTGCAAAACTGTGGAATGAGATACCAACTAAGCTCCGAACACTACCAAAATTCATCTTTAAAAGAAAAATTCGTACGATCTTGTTCAATATATTAGAATTAGAAGACTCCTACGAAGATTTAGAATCGATAATCTCTAAAGTTAGTAAATACTCTTAGTAGCTATCACCTTTGTCTCGCCCATCCTACCTTATCCATTTTATCTTATGTATTCACTCACAACATAATGCGCTGTCAACTTGAATTAACCACATAGTTGTTTCCGTAGACTTAATTTGTTTTCGTATTTACCATCTATTTATTCATCTGTAGTTTTAA